CAGCTGGGTGTTACATATAATCTTATCATTTTAACAATAAACTACTAGAAACTCTTTAGAAATCATTCATATTTATCTTGAATACAATAAATATTTGAGTTATATCAAGGTTTTTATTGATAAAAATTCAATGCCAAAGCGTGGCCACTTGGTAAGAAAAGTACTTATGAGTTAATTTACACGATTGGCCAAAGAAAGTGTTTATAAATATTTATTTATGTTACCACCTACGTCAAACGTTATGGAATGCAATAAAAGATTTTATTGAATTGAAAGTATATCTGACTCTAAGTTAACCAAAGTAGTGCATTTTCTGAGTATTATTCGTTTATCTTTTTAGAGAATTTCATTCGTGATATTCGTCACATCGAAATCTCCTACAAAAATCTTCTAGGCTGAAGATTACGTCAGTTATCGTATAAACGAATCTTCAACGGATGATGTATCTTTATCGAATAGGTCTTGTTAGAACCGAAATATGTCTACGTATTCCATCATGTTTACAACTTTTTAGGTGTACCTACATTCAGATAAATTAGAAAAAAAAATGAACCATACTGTCGTAAATTAGAAGTAATGAACCTGGAGTAGACAAGCATTCTCTTAGTCACTGAAAATGTTTCATAATTGCAAAGTTAAGATATAACTGCTTAACTGACCGGTGCGTAATTATGTCGAGGGTTGACTTCCGTAAGGAAGTATTCTTGGTCATCGTCATATCAGCCACAGGACATCCACTGCACATAGGCCGCCCCCAAGTACCTATTCTTAGTGATCACCATAAATTGCTATTGAGTCTAAGTATGATGTTTTTGTGAAATTATATGTTTGTAAACAAACATGATACAATGGCTAATGGTAGGGTAGAAACTTAATTATATTTCTCTCACCAGATATGTAACTTACAAGTTAGAATTCTGTACGAATTTCGACCAGTGTGCATATGGCTAGTTCTTATAACTATACAATCTTCAAAGTTGGTACCTAAGACCTGATTTACTAGTGTTATGTTGGCGTGAACTAAGGACCGTTGTTTCCCATTTACAACAGGCAAGTGGGCAGAATGGGTTATTATGGTTGTCGACGAGCAATAGACCTCGGAAATTATTGTGACTCTCTGTACGTACGGTGGCTACGTCTTAGAATGGAACTTTTTATCGCCAAGTTTATCTTTGTTACGGAATAATAATTTACGAAGAACTTATGGTCCTATTGTTCCATAACATAATAACATTACGCTTTCTATCCCCGAAGGGGTAGACAGAGGTGCGCATTACGACACTTAATGGTACTGTACAATGTAAGACCAACTTTTCACTAATTTATGTTATGTGTTGGGACTCAGGACTCATACATGGGTGTAATAGGAGGTAAGCCTATTGCCATATACCGCGCACAAATCGAGGTTCCGTGCTTGGAAATTTTTCAAAAAACCCAATAATACTTTGTCCGACTCGGGAATCGAACCCGAGACCCCTTGCCCAGCAGTCGCAATTGCGACCACTCGGCAAACGAGTGTAATAATGATCTGTACAAAGTTGAGCACGATGGAAAATTTACTTGATGCATCTTAACATGCCGATTTGGCTCCCCATATATAAGTTGGATAAAAATATCACATTCTGGACAAAAACAAAACAAGACAATAGATAACGCATTTTCTTATGGGTTTAAAACTATTTCAAATAACTTTAAAAACTTACATACCACGATATTTCTAAAAAGCTATCTAAATGCCTTTTGATGCCTATGTAAGGTATGCCCGTGAAATATGAATAAAATTTTCATCAAAAATCTTTGGTGGGGTTGTGGTATTTACAAGTGCGACGGATATTTTCATCTCAATCTCGTATGCGTGTTGGTGACCGTCTGGGTACGACGCGCGACGTGGCAGGTCGCGATACGACGGACGTATACCACGGCTATTGCATTAAACATGAGCTGTATATAGGTAAATATACAATATAATATATTAAGGTTATTGACTAAAAAATGTTTGCCAGGTTCTTTAGTAAAAGGTTTATTTGAATGCAATGTCATTATGCATACTTAACGCATCCTTTGTCAATAAAACGGTACGATACTCGGCCTTGGGTGTCATGGAGCGTTATTGGGTTTTCCGATTTAAAAGTGATTATAGAATAGCATAAGGTAAAGGACTATCCGATGTTTGGTTCTCTTTTTAACTTCATAAAAGTAGTCCTTTTGTTCGCAGTTATTTTTTTACATATGTGTATGGAGAAAACAATTCTGAAGTGGTTATTTTCAATGGAATCGGAGCAGTGTAGATAATGTGAAAGAAATTCTAGCAGCGATGAACAAGCTTGATTTCGGAACTCATAAACATAATATAATTTTGCTTTTATTCGTAAAATTGTGATATACAAAGGCACGATGTCCAAATTCTATTGTAATCTATTCTAACATCAAATTTCTATGATAACACAGGATACATACAGAGGGCTCACTAATTAGCATACGTATTATATTCCCTATTGTTCTCATCTCTAGTTTGTTGTGAATGGGGCCTGAAAATAGTAGGTACCCCTAACGTGATGTCACGCCTTATGTTCCCCGTAACACGAAATTTTTGTAAAAAATTTATGAGTACCTTGTGTGCCAGAGTGCAGATCTACGCAAGAATCTTTTCTATTGTGTCTTATATACAAGTATTTAAGCGGTTATTAAATAGAGAGCGACCTAAATATGTAGGTCCATTAGAATAGGCATCATTTCAGCTCTATTTATATACATATAAAATCTATATATATAAAAGAAAGTCGTGTTAGTTACACCACTTATAACTCAAGAACGGCAGAATAGATTTGGCTGAAAATTGGTAAGGAGGTAGCTTAGAGCTAGGAGACCGACATAGGATACTTTTTAACCAATACTTTTTTCTTTACTTTTTACCGAAAATCACGAACGGGGACGGGAAAAAATGGGATTACGCGTACGAAGTCGCGGGCAAAAGCTAGTATACTTATATAGAAGATTTAGAAATCGAACATAATAATAATCTATGACTGCAAGATTAAACTGTAGGTAAGTGTCGTGCTTAGTAGTCGCCTAATAGCTTATTGTCGTGCGACTACTTTAGAACAAAATCGCCGTGCTGGTTTTAGATACAGATATATAGATAGATTATAGAATGAACAGTAAATTCTTATAGGCCAAGGAATTGTCGAGAATGTTCAATTCAGGACTCTATAAAAGAATATTGTTCTTTTCAGCTGCTTCAACCCTAGCCCTAGTTGATGTCAACCCAAAACTAGTTCGAAAATACGTCAGAAGAAATCATATACATAGTAGGTACCTATGTAATATAAAGAACCCACAAGTCAATTTACGCCATGAATAAAAGTAATAGTGTCAAACCATATTAGTGCTTGTTCTCTTTTGTATTCATTTCATGTCAACACATTTTTCCCCAAAGAGCGAATGAATAATGAGATTTCGTTTCTCACTATTATTGCAATTTCTGATAGATAATGGATTTCTACTGGATTCTCAATGGAAAATATTAATGTATATTGTTATTAGTTTTCATTGAAAAGGCCTACTTAATAGTAAAAACATAATTATATAGAGAAGTGAAAGTGTAGATTTGTGTCTTTAATTTATTTATCCAGATTTTTTTTAAAACATTTCTGTCGTGATCTATAACATTTTTTCGTGCAGCATGATCCAAATGAATATTACATAACACCATGGCTTTTATCCCCAACGGGGTAGGGGTAGAGGTCCACATTACGGCACTTAATGCCACTGTACAATGTAACACCCACTTTTCACTATTTATGTTATGAGTCCCATGTACTAGGGGGTGAGCCTATTGCCATATACCGTGCACAATTCCAGACTCCGTAGTACCACTGAGATTTTTTTTTAAACCCAGTAGTGCTTCGCCCGACCCGGGAATCGAACCCGAGACCCCTTGCCCGGCAGTCGCACTTGCAACCACTCGGCCAAACGAGGCAGTCTGTTGCATGATCAGCAGCATGAGCCGAATGAATATTACTAATTAAAATAATAGTAAACGTTATCATAGCATTCATTTTAAATAACTCTAAGCGAGAACTGAAATAGTCTGAGAATTGCATGAAATATGCGAGGTCACCAAACCCAATTTAATTATCACACCTCTGCCAGTTATTTTTGTTCAGCTGGCTGAAGTTGTGGTCAGAGCCGTAAGCGTTATGTCTGCTGTAGACTCGTCTCATGTCCACATTTGCATAGACGTCGACTAAAATATATGAAATTTACAACACGTCGCCAAACCGGCACTTGCCACTGCGGCTAGCTCCGTCAGAAAATTACCTTACAAATTAACCTTTTCATGAAATAAAACCAAACTTTCGAGTAATTTAATTTATTAGACTAGAATTATATTATAAAAAGAAACTAAGAAATAAAGTCTTATGTTCAACATAAAGTTGAGTCAGTATTGCATTTCAATTGCCTACAATAAATTCACATAACAGCTTATCATTCGAATAAATTTAAAAACTACGAACTGGTTAAAATTAAGTATTCTTTTCAATAAATATAAACGTGTTTTCACAGCCGCGACTCAAAATTCTTCAGGTACTTTGGTCATCTTAACAAATAATATTATTTAATTCTATCAATGACCTCTGAACCACAGTAACAAAAACTTTGAAGTTCCACTTCGATTTTCAACATTCTCAAAGGTTTCCATTGACGAAGACGTAGACCCTTTGTTCAAATTAATTCTATGGCAGTACTCGGTACGATAAATTCGTGTAACAAGGCACTTTCAGTATTTATTAAGTAGTCACTAACTATTCTCTTTCCCCTTCGACTACACTTCTTTATTTTCGAAATAGGTAATTAGCATCGTGGGCTATGGAACTCATTGTCGTTTCGGCTCTTCTTATGAAACTAAACGTCTGTCTTTCCTGACAGAAGAGTGCAAAGCACTAGAGAGTATTTCCAAATATTAAGTAATTTGATTCCACCTAAATATTATTCAGTTCCTATGTTTCTGGTTGTTCAGCATCTACTTTCTTCTGTCTTTTTTCCTTGAGTAAAAGGTATATCATATCAGGGATCCATGTGACAAGAAGAATTACTAGCAGAACATTTTGTGCTGTGATACAAGTGACGTAACTTCCAGAGTAGTCTCTGATCCATCCAAGGAAATATCCAGCTGGAGGTACAATGATACCCATGGTCAACATGCCAAGTCCAACAGCAGCCGGTACTTGATCCATCCTGCAGTTTTCAGAAATGGCAATGTTCCTCGCCACAATAATCATACTTCTTCCAACACCATAAAGACAAGACATGAGAATTAATACTTCAATGTTGGTTTGGTATGCCAAAACTGTGAAAAATAAAAAATATTTTAGTCACTGAATCAACTAATAGATACAGGTACGACCGTAAAGGTGAGTATGCTTATCGGAGATCAAATTCCAGTCGATAATAGTTTTATCATGGACGTATAATTTTTCCATTTTTCTTGTTCGAGTCTCAAGTGGTAAAATATTGGATTAAGTGCTTGAAGATATAAGTGTGATACGTACTTTGTCTGACAACGATGAGCCACGTGCATGTCATGATGAGCATCCACCTGGCCTTTATTTTATATTTGTCTTGGAAGACTGGTAAGATAAGACGTCCGGCGATGTCTGCGCCGGCGACCGCCGACATGCAGTTCGCAGTCTGCTGTTTGTCCATTGATGCTACATGCTGCAAAGATAATGACTTCATTAATTAAACCTGTTTTAATAATAGTATCGTAAGCGGTTACACCAAGTTTTTGATTTGAATCATGAACGTTATCTCTAGACTTTGGATTATGATACATAGAGCTATTTGTTAATTTCTATTCTGTCATCTAGTGAACTTTGCTCATTTCTCAGTTCTTAGTATTTCTTAATCATATTAATATTGATTTATAAATCCCCATATTCGGAGAGGTTATTGTTATAATTGAACAATTAAAATAAATATGAGTTTGATAGAAAGTCACATTATAACATTAGCTAATGCTGGTTCTTATATCGTTTATTCTTGTTGAATCTTTAATTCTTATAATCCCAACATAAATTGCATTGGAGATATTCCGAAATAATGACATCATTCAAACTTCTCGACAAATATTTACGGTTGGATACATGACACGTGTGTGTAGTAAAGAAAACGGGAAAACTTGTGCATTCTAGATAATTCTAGATACAATTTTCTTAACAAATAATAATAACCAAATAGATTATACTATCTTGTCTCAACATAACACACAAAGTAATCATCATAGAGTTAGATGCGAAGTGATTCATATCAAATATTGATATAGAGCTTGTGATCAGCTCTATATCAATATTTGATATGAATAATAAATGTTTAATGAACAGATAAATGTTGAGGATACTATAAATACTGATATGGTAGTGATCAAATAAGAATTGCTTCGTGTTATCAGCGTTCTGATCGAATTAACACACGTGCTTGTGCGTTGGAGAACACTCTGTATACATGTGGTAGTGAAATCACTTATGGTATGAGCTATAACAATGAACAGTGACGTAAATAAAGAACGAGAGGTCCTTCATGTCAACATTGTTGTTGTTTTCTTAGAAAGAGGTAATAAGTGCGAATATCGACCTTAAGGTTTTAATTCTAAGATTGATCAAGGTTATCAAAAATTAGCATAGGTATGTTCTGAATTTTGTGCAAGGTACTTTGGTCACAATTTTGCCCTTATTTCATTCGAATTTAAGATCTCTAATAAAAGGTATTATATGAGGAGCATCTCATGTGTATGACTTGAGTTGATGAGTAGCAACTTGTACACTCGTATGAAGTCATATACTATGCAAAATACTATATACAGGTAAGTAGACAATTTGCACAATTTTATTTAGAAGGCGTTTTCTGCAATATAAGTACGATTCCTTGTCAAAGTTGTAACAATGAACCTATTGTACTACAACAATTAATATACTTTGAATGAATCAAATATTGCGGAGTTTATTAGCATGTGCGAACAATGTCAGGTAAGCCAGAATTAATAATATAAAAACGATAAAACCGCGTACATTAATAATCTCATTCGCTTTCCCATTACACGTAATTATGTTTTGTGGGAACGTTTTATTTGGAAGCTCGTTTTAAAAAACTTTATTAATTTTAATTTATTATACCTACTGTATCGTGGATTTCTTTTGGAACCGTGAGTTTTTATCATTATTGTATAAAAGACATGATATTTTGCACTTATCTTTTCGGCAAAAAACTTGTAGTTCTAAGATACAATAGAATAGTTCTAGGCCAATCTTAATTAACTCAATGTTTTAAATACGAAGGTGTCTTTGTTAAAATTACTCACTTAAAAAACTAGATTACTTTTAAAGTTTTGATATAATAGATAATTTGTTCCCTGGAAACTGTTAAAAAACTAATAAACATTTTTCTGCAAGCATAGGATAGTGAACCGACTATAAATAAATTAAATATCGTTGTATAAAAAGAATCTTACCTGTAGAAAGAATGGATACAGCATACTGAAGTTCTGTATCGACGTCACAGCTAGGGCTGTGCCGATGACGATGTTCAGGAACCTTATGTCAGACAGCAAGGCGATGCCAAAGAGATCATATAGTTTCTTCATTAACGTCTGCTTTTGTGGACGGATAGCCGGTGTGGCAGCTGCTAAAAGAAAGAAAATTCAAATTTATTTCTATGAATTAAGGTTCTTATTAAACCTTAAAAATGTTTCTCAGTGAACAAACTACGCGATGATCTAAAAGACACACATTAAGATACATACAGAAATTAACAACATTAGGTTATTAGGCTATAACAGGAAACGTTCCAATGTATGTACAGTCAACCAGGTAATTCGATAAGAAGAATCGGTAAGAAAATAAATACCATTTAGTACAGGGACAGTAATCATTTGTTAGCTAAAAGATATAACTTCTTGAACCAGTATACAATAATAACTCTAACGCTTTTATAATGGATCAATCTTTTTTCTCACCTGCATATGGAATAAAGTTTTTATACATTTGTACGTAAACAACGTACTTGTGTTTGTAGTAGGTACTTGTACTCATTGAATACAATAACAATGCAACGTGTTTATATTGAGTGAGAAAATCATTAGTTTTATCGTTACGTAGATGCATAAAGTATGGAGTACCACTAAATAACCGATAGCATAGTTGATCATGTTGTTATCAATGTTGTTTACCCCATGTGTTCTGTTTTATATATGGTACAATATATTAGTTACTTTGTTGTGGTGACACAACAGTCAGACTCCAATTGAATATCAGTAAAAGACTTATGAGTTGGATACCATAATGCTATTACAATTTATTATTCCTAGTAATAGTATAAATTCCTATAACATACTAGAGTTTGGATATAAGGGCCTATTACATACATAATAGTGAGCCTATAACTTCCGAGAAAACATTGATTTGGTCCGCATTCAGTTACTACTGAACTAATCATAAAAAGTACTTACCATTTACACCATTCGTTTCTGATTTATTTATTTTTCCACCATTTAATTCTTTCTTGCTACCAAAGTTGGATTTTTCATTACCATTTTGAGCGTCTCCATTAGATTGTGATGTTTTACGTGTCTTGTCTTGTAGTAGATGGAGATTTTCGTCTACAACAACTTCTTCTTCTACTTGTTTCAAATGCCATTCTACTGGTTGTATTAGAAGAGTACCGGCAATCTAAAATTGTAAAAGACAATGTTTAAAATAGAGTTACCCATTGCTGGCTGATATTAACTTGGCCACCCTTACTGATGATGAATAATACCTTCACCAAAAAGGTTGTAGGAACTGATTTCAAATATTCATGTATTTCAATGTATTTTTCCTTGTAAATTTAGAGCAATTAAAGTTTAAAACAAGTTCTTAAGTAATAAAAAAGCTCAATGACTTCTTATACTATTTTCGAAAATTAACGGTGACGAAAATTAACTCAAGAAGATTTACTACAAATAAAGACATTACACAAATCTTGATCTCAGATTATATTTAAAAACGTAAACAAGTAATAAAATAGCCAGTTACCCCGTGTAAACTCAAAGACGACAACATCAGGCACGCGCCGCGGAACCCGTAATGTTCCAGGAGATATCTCACTAAGTGCGGCATTAAGGTCTGTCCCACACCTGTGCCCACGTTTGCGAGACCCACTGCACGGCTTTTCTTTAGCTTGAAGTAGCTATTTATAGCCACAAATGACGAGTTTTGGATGAAACCCAAACCCAGACCTGGAACAAGCATAATAGATTAGTTGTTTTACCAAACATTCCGGATATCGGGTAAAATACCTCATACCCGTGGTCGGATTTGGGCCATTCTAAATATTAATGAATGGATTTTGGTGTTATGGTATCTATAGTTTATTTGGGTTATAGTGCTTATTAGTTGTTGGAAATTATAGTAATAAAATACGGGACGAAAATATACGTATTATTCTACTGTGTATAGAAACATAGTTGTCTAAACTCGTGTTCATTTAAAACGATAAAGCCCACACATTCGAGTACCGCATTATGCTAAACAATAAACATTGAACAACAAACAAGGCAGGCTTACCTAATAGGACGCCGTAAGTTAACACCAAGTGCCAGATATTTGTCGAAAATCCGCTAAAGAAGATTCCACTGGTACAGAAACACGCTCCGGTTACTGCAACAAATCTTGTTGATGTCAACTTAACTACGGCCCCGGCTATCGGGCCGCCGAAATTCGTGACGAACAACATAGTACTCATTACGATGGCAGCTCCTTGGGTTCTATGGCCCATCGCCTCTAATGCGTCTCCGTATAACAAACTGAATAATGACAGCATTGACTGGTTGAATATCTGCAAAATATTGTCTAATGTCAATAATACCAACGACATTATAAGAATAATATGGCATCTCGTCTTTTAAGGAGTAGCCAGAGGTATATAGTGTACCCTGTACATATAGCATAACAGTTTTTCCGGTTACGTTATGAGTTCTATGAAATTGCGGTAAGGCCATTGTTATAATATTAAAAGTAAGTTATTTATTACTGTTAAGAATACTTATACAAGTTCAACATTCAAAGTCCAACAATTGTATAGTATTTAACAATGACATTATGTTGTTTTTATGACTCACAAACGAACGTAAGGATCTGTTTTAATTGTAGGCCTTTATTAGAAGTTTTTATTGAAGGCGTTGAGACTTTCCCTTTCTGAATACAAAGACGTTAAATACTTAAAAGTAACTTGAAGAAGTTCAAAGTCTTAATAGTATTAGAAAAGTACCAAATAATGTGGTAATTTCAATGGATTTCAGGTTTCCAAACTTTCACTTTTCTTATCTAGTTTTCGCGGGTACATAACAAGACTACTGAATGTAGAATTTTAAGTTGAGTACGTAGTTAGTTCATAATTTTGTTTCAGATCAAAAGGTGAGATTGAAAAATCTAGTTAGACAATTTTCGACTTATTTTGACACAACATTCAAGTTGCCACGTTTTGTAATAAGAGAATCGGAATATTGGCATGCGTGATATTTACGCTATCTCTATGTATTATTTAGGTCTAATAACAATACGAGTACATATGTATATGTTGGCAAAATTGTTGATATGCTATGAATGTTATCACGACATGTAGTGTATAAATTTTCGTTAGTAATACAAATATTGTTGTTATCTACGCTATAATCGATAACAGTTGCTGATAATTTGGTAGCTTCCCTAATGTGGGGTTATGTTATAAATTAAACGGCCTTCTAGTTACATTGCCAAAGATAATGATTAAGTATATCCTGTTGTTGTTATTGTCTTATTTACGACGAATTATTTTGCTAAGATATTTTCACGTTTAGAATTTTGGCCTGCTCTATTTTTAAGAAAATATAGTTATTGTTCTGGCTAGCTTTCTTATCTTACTAATTTTTTTGCAATTTTATATGTCTAAATTTTTACACACATTTAAAAGAGGAACTTATGAAATTGGCCTAGCTGTTCTTGAGATCTGCACTTTCTAATGCCCATTTTTATAAATGGGTATTTGGGTAAGAAAACCTATGTAGATATTATTATCTACATAGGTTTTCTTACGCAAATACAAAACGTATATAGTATAGTCATTAGTCAAGTATTATTCCTATAGTATATTTTTGATAAGACATAAGGAATACCTACATAATTTACTTACATTAGACAATGCCGTTCCAAATAACACCATCCAGCCCCATCCTCCATCGGGTGGTACTAATTTGATTACTTTCTGAGTCTTTGGCGATGACACCAACGCGTTCTTTTCCGATGCCATATTTGTTTTTTTTTGTTTTTCTTGACAAATTAACTTAGCATAATTTGATTCTCAAATGTTTCTGTTGGCTTCTGTAACAAGAGAGAGAGTGAATAAGTTTATTATGTTTTTTTCTGGGATTTTTGGGAGGTGTTAAGGCTTTGATATGTCAAGGTTTTATGTGTGTAAGTATTAACAGTAGCAGTAGTGCCTATATAATTATTTACTTCAGCAAATATCCAAATACGATTGCTGTTCAAGTTAGCTTACCACGCTCTTGGTTCATAACAACGGATTCTTCTTTGTGTTAAATGGAATGTAGCATGAATCTTACATCGGAATCTTGTAAAAAATTCTTCTAATTAAATTAAAAGAAAACATAGATAATTAATATTCACATCACATCAACAGCCACACAAAAATAAATGCATAAATAAACATAACATAAATGCCCACTGCTAAGCAAAGCCTCTTCTCACACGGAGAAGTTTTAAGCATTAATCACCACGCTTGCTCTTTGTGGGTTCGCGATTTTAAACTTATAATTAGAAATTATAAGCTAAGGTTTCTTCACGTTATTTTTCTTCACCGCTTATCATTGGCGTCTAAATAATCTTAGAAAGTACATATAACTTGGAAAAAATCACATTGGTATTTGCCGTTGGTAGGTTTCGAACCCGGCCCTCCATGCATGAGAAAGCGTCTTAACCCTCAGGGCCATAATGACACTAACCAATAACACATTGGTTTGTTTCAGAACAAGACAAGACAAGCAGAGAAGATGAGAGATCAAAGTTTATACCTCGAAAAGGAAAGTCATAAGTGAAAGTATTTTTACACTGAAATAATATATTTCCATTTCATAGATAGTAGATAGTACAGTCATGTGATTGGTTAGTGCGATTACACCTACGCTTTAGAGATACGTATATTTTGAGCAAATATTAGTATGGTCTATATATAGCTATTCCGGGTATATATTTCTGAATGAGAAATTAATTTGAAATATATCACCCAAGAATTTAAGGGAAATTGTATTGCACCTATGACAAACCTAGTATTTTGGACGCAAACATAGTATTTCTACATAATAAGCATAACCACTAAAATTAAAGCTGTAACTAAGCGACAATAAGATAATGTTTCTGAATTCAAATATGTGTCGTTTATGTTAAAATGCTGGTTTCTAATGGCATAAGACGGCTTTAAACAAGCAGACGCAATACTATAGAACTATGTTCTAACTGTATAGTTAGTTATACGTTTATATGTATATATATATAGATATAAAAATCGCATCAAATCGTGCCGTTGCGTCGTGAAACAGAGACAAAAAAACACTTTAACATGTACACAATAACAATGTCGAATACTCAAAGAAATAAGGATATAATAAAGATGATGCATTACAACTTAAAGTTAACGTAAGATACCAATATTTGTATAGCTACGTAGTTTTACGAGTGGGGTGTGTCCGATAATGAAAGTATATAATTAGATCGACCTTTTTATCTGAAGTCAAATGTAATAACGGAATTATACAGTTTTTTGCCCTATCTTCATATTTGTTAAGAAAACAAGTAAATCTTTGCTTTGTTATTGCTATGAATCGTGTGGGGCCGATGATAATGTATAGATTATATTGTATTTGCGCGTATAAGGAGTGTGATTAAAAAACATCTGTTATAATTAATCGTTCTTTCTAAGATATGCATGCATAGGTGTTCGTATCGTTGTATTGTTTGATAATAATAATTTGTTGTGTTATAATCACAATGCTAAATACATAAGAGGGATTAGAACTAATTAACACTTTCATTTGGTATTGTATTTTTGCTTATTGTGTGTGTTTTCTTTTTAAAACATACTCTTTGACACTGACCTAAAATAAATTAACAGACGTACAACAATTATTGGTGTGTAAACGACATGAATATCAATATGTTATAGTACTTACAAATAAAATTAAGCTAATAAGTAAAAATTAAAGTAAATATTTTTCTTTATGTTGCTTCCATTCTTAGGAAATCACATTACTATTATGTATACATGACGTAACATCAATAGATTTAAAACTGAAATTGTTATAAGTACTAAAACAATTAAAATGAAGTAGAAGTACATTTCAAGGAAAATATAAATGCAAATATACTGAATCTTAATAGTACGTTTTGTATTTGTTACTAGTTCACTAGAGCACATCTAGTAAATAGGATAAGGCTAAAGATCAAGTACCTATTGATCCTATCCTATCACTTTGTGTTATCAGCTAATACTATGTACTGTATAGTAGGTAACTACTTAGTATAAGGTCAAAGACCGAGCGCACGTTCCGTGAGAATATTTTACGCAACAATATGACAATGTATAGAGTCATAAACAAGTGAATAGCGACTCTAATTCATATAGGTTTGAGATGAAATTAAATAATCAATTGGTGAATTACAAGAGATATACGAAGGATCGTATTGAATTATGAATGCAATGAGTAAAATACTGAATTTAAACAGTATCATAATGTTAGTTTTTTTTTAACTAAAAAAGAGGACCTAAATAAAGAGGTTATTATTTTTCTGCTTGCTATTTTTTTTATTCAATGGTTTGTGTCTTTGTCTTACATAGGTTTCTCTCTTTATACCTAGAGGTCTATTAATAACAAACATGCCCATTTCATTAAAACAACATGTACCTTAAAATAATGTTACCATTCTGATGTTATTACAAACAATTGTTGCGAACCGTTTAATTCCTCGTATTATGTGAGATGACCTCTCCTTGTTATATTTTTGTTAATGATAGCAAAGACGTCAAAGTTGTGCCAGTGATAACAATTGGAATTTGGTTATTCCTAATCACGTTTTTATAAAAAAAGTATTTTCGTCAATTTTTTTTAGGTAATATGTAAGAGGAGTTGAAGGTTATACGAGAATAAATGACATTTTTGACTGCATGGTTAGCGTGGTGGTTGGACAATTAGCTGGCGTGCAACGTGTCGCGGGTTCGATACCTACATGGAACAATTCTTTGAGCGATCCATAGATAGTTGTTCCGGGTCTGTGTATGTGGACTTGTATGTTTGTAAACGCACCCACGACACAAGAGAAAATTCTAGTGTGGGGCAACGTTTTTTAAAATAAAAAATAATAATACAATACTTTTAGTTGTGTTTTAGTTTTGTTTTTTTTCTTATTGTAAGTAAGTACTCTTAAACAACAAGATTTAGAAAACAACGGAATTTAAATAGATGTGTAGTGCACGTTCGAACATCCTTCTTAACTTATAAGTCTCCGAGAGAAACTGACAGACATCGTCGAACCGCGATTGAAGAAAAAAGGGGAAAAATATGAAAATGTTATTCTCTTACGACCCCGAAAATGCAAAATATCCGGCAGGGATGAGGTTGTATACGGATTTTTTTTGTATTTTTTTTCCACAAACACGGTCCTACATTGATAACACCGTATCTACATTTCGTGTTTACCTACATATGACGCATTAGAGGTGTTCTTTGCACTCGTACGTGCGAACTTCCGCCATTCGAACAATATTTACGGGACTTTGAACTGTATATTGATGGAATATGGCACATTGTTGCTATTGTTTCTGTGTGAAAAATGTCAGTACGCCAGAATCTTTTACCAGTTCGGTGGAAACTGTATTAAGTTTTGATGTAATGTGACTTGTGAGTTATTTATTGTATTTTGAAAAAATGGAAATTGTTAAAGTTGGTTTCTTGTTTATTTTCTATTAAACTTACTTCGAAACCTTTGAAGAACGGTGATTACAGAAATAAGTCTTTTACTTAAAATCACGGTAAGCACGGGTGGAGAATTTTCAGCATCAAAAATACGTACATATTAATTTGTTCATCCAAAAGTAAGGACTAAGAACTAAGAGAATATTGCGTTAAAAGACTTTATGAATTGCAATTAAATAGTAAATTCTATATTCCTGGAAACTTGACGCCGGAGAGTTTTCATTTTTGACAGCTATTTAGTTTGACTACCTTATTTGTCGACCATCGTCTTCCTGGAATTTCTACAGTGAGCTTTGAATTCAGTTCAAAATAAGGTAAATATTTGTTGGTTAAATAGTGGAAACTACGTAATTATATATGGTTGATGTTCCACTACACATAAAGTAATTCCTCGTTTTTGATTCCAAAAGACTACATATATACCTAGTCAAATGTTACACAAAAATCTATAAACCACAATTTTTAGGATGGCGATAATTATATTATTATATTGCTTTTAACTTCTTCATCTTCACGTTTTATATTAAAAAAAAATAAGAATTATTGACTACTTAAAAAAAATAATTTCTTCAACGAACTACTGCACAAAGTTATCCATCATTCAGTCAGCATTATTATGATTGATTTCCAAAAAATGTGTATATATACCTACACATTTTTGATTCCTGATACCTCTTTTTACTACAGGTGTGATAATAAATAAATGCGATTAAGATAACTTAGCATGCAGTCATGAGTTATTAACGTGATTCATATATTATATACTTAAGTACCAAGTTGCAAGTACATACATACCTAGTAACCAAAGTTGCTAAGTCATGATCCTTTCCATGTGATTTTGGTAATATTTTTTTTTTTTAGTTTTGTACTTGTTATATAATGTTTATGTTATCTGTGGCAAGCTGGCCACTTTCAATAGGGAAACTTATTTATGATCTTCTTTTGTTTAGAAAATATATGAGCGTGTTTCTGACTGGTTTGTTTAATTCACACGATAAATAGTTATTGCATTGTATATCGAAAATATATAACAGTACTTATCTTGAGTTACATTGTGTTTACACTATTTAGTTATAACTAAAGAATAATTAGTGCATTTCTTTGAATGTATGATTTAATTTAAATATTAAATACTAGCGACCCGCCTCGATTTCGCACGGGTGCAATATGCATGTATCTTACATAACCGTCCTTAAGAATTGTTCTATCTATTAAAAAACCGCATCAAAATCCGTTGCGTAGTTTTAAAGATCTAAGTATACAT